CTTACTGGTGAAACGCCAGACCATTGGCTATCAAAAGAAACTCTTTCTCGGTGGAATAAAGAAGTTGCTAAAATATCACTTTATCAAAATCGACCAGGAAACCCACATTCAACTTCTTATTCGTATGGTGTAATGGCTGATGAGAGTACAAGAGGAGATAAGAAGGTGTTTTTAGTTTGTTTTTCATATTGGGACGCATATAAAAATCAACCAATGATTACTCTCGCGAAAATGATAGACCTAAATAAATATAGTGGAGCTATAGTAGCAAAAACGGTAAAAAAAACATGTGAATAAAATAATTTAGATCTGAGACAGTGCCAGTTTTGGCTTACTGATAATATGGCACATGTCAGAAAATAAGTCTGGCGCCATCGTGGAATTTAATTTGCAGGCAAATGCATTTTCGTTCAGAATCCCATGTGGTCTACATGCACTACAAATAGCGTTAGTTGCATTTGAAAATACTGCATTTGGAAAATTAAACACAGTGTCAGGACTATCTTTGCAAGAACATCCTCATAATCTTCTTTAACTTGTTTACTATCTACATGATGGTTATAGTGAAAGTAATAAAGACTGTCCATTAAATATGAAATCAAACACGATATGTAAACTATATTAAACATTTCTAAAATATAATCTACAAAAATATCAAAAATCTATCTCGAGCCGATGGCGATATCAATTAATAACGGCAAGTCAATATCTAAAAAATTATGATATTCATAAGCTTTTTGTAACTTGGTTCATTAAACAATTTAATGAATCCAAAAACATACCTGAGAGATATGCTAGGCAATAGAAAGTATTGAACGACTAGATAAATAATATAAAGCTTAATCTTCAAATAAAATGTATGGTGCAATTTGGCAACTTTTTTTATTTAAAATTCTTCGAATTTCTAATCAGATTTGATAACGTACCTCGAGTATTAGAAAATAATATATTTAAATGCCTTCTTTCTGGACACCGCGCACATGAACTTACTGATCAAGTTCTGTTTTGGCTTGGTAAACTACAGAGTGCAATTAATGACCCCTATATTATTTTTGAGGAACAAATTATTGAAGCATGTTCAAATTTATGTAATCAGGAACTTACTGCTTTAATAAATAATTTAAAATCTGGTTTAGAAAAAGCACGAGAAGGATTTTTAAAGTGGATGGGTTGCTGGATTCACTTACCTTTAACGATATGTCTATTGGGTGGAAGTAATGGTCCTGATTTTGCACGAAGTGTTTGCT